TATTAAAATAATAAGATATGAGAAACCTCAACTATATCATATTGATCTAAGACCATCTTCATCACTCATCAGCCTCTTTGTCAAACTCCATAAATTCATCCCCTAAACTTTGGACTCCTTATAATTTCTAACTTTTTTTATCTACCTAAACTTTGATTATACTTTTTATATCACTTTTACTTAGCAACTCCTTACTACCAACTCTATGTTTTTATTTATATCGAGCTGATAAGCTACCTGATAGTTAATAAGCTATCTTATAGCTTATCAGTAATTTTTGCGCTTATAGATTATAGCTTATGACTTATAACTGAAAAACTAGCTGATATGATAAAAGTGTTTGGTAAAATTAGCTGATAAGCTAGCTGAAATAAATATTTCAACGAACTTACTTGAAAAGCTACCCAAAGAAGTTTATCAGATAAGCTCGAGATTTTTAAATAAGCTTGTTCTACCAAACGGGACATTATTTAAATATAGGGAGCTTATAAGATAGCCAAATAAGCTATAAGATAGTTTATTTGTCACATATATAAATGGGGAGCATTGAAAATCACAAGAAAAAAGAAAAAAAATAAAATAAAATAATAATAATAATAATAATAATAATAATAATAATAATAATAATAATATATATATATTAAACTGAAGCAGCTGGAAAAAAATTTGTTTTCCCTCCCATTTTATATTAAATGTTACTCATTAATGTTTGATAAAATCAATAAATATTGTTTAAAAATTAAATGTCTTATTGGAATTGTGTATAATAGATACTTAATAATATTATTGGGAATGTTGAATAAGTTGATAATTGTTTAGAATGTTGTGCTAATTCTACACATCTCTATACAACTAATAATTAGATCAAACAAAAAAAAAAAACTTAATGGTTAATGTCAAATTTTCTATTAATTGTCCTCAATGGACTATTTCTTTAAATTTTTAAAACCTTCCACTTTGGATATTTTAAATTATAAAACTATATTATGTTTTCATTATAAAACCACAATATAAGAGCTTAATGTAGTCTTAATTTAGTTATACATGTTTCACAATTGTGGGTCATTTTGAAATTGTAAATTCGTAACCACATAATATAAAACCTAACATATATTTAATTATAATAATGTGGTAAAATAAAAGTTTATAGAATTTAAAAGATTAAAAGACATCATTTTTATAGGATGTCTTTATGTTTAATTCATTGAGTAAAATTTTCACTGCAAAAAATCATAAAAACTAAATAGAAAATTATAACATATTAACAATTATTCTCAAAATTAAAAGTATATACATATCTATACAATTGAAATATCAATAAAAAATATATTTCTTTCAAAACTTTATTTATGTTTATGAGATCGACATATTTGTATTGAAACATATTATACATATAAACAAAAATAGAAAGAAGATACAAAGAGAAAGCAATGACAAAAATAATAAAGTTAAATTTTACATGTAGTTAAATTAGACGAGACATAATGTTCAAAATAAAAAAATAAAAATGCATCTATAGGTTTTTTTGGGTCAATGTGTAAACCAAGTGAAAATAGGTCTAAAAAATTGCGGATAACCTACTTGGGAAGTAAAATTATTTAGATTTAGGTTTCATAACCATAACAATAGAATTAAATTTATACATAATAACACATTGGAAACTACACTCCAATTTTCATGGTCAAATAAATTTGAAACAAATTCGTCAAATTCTATGTAGACCAATATAATGCGGCAAAATAAAAGTTTATAGCATAAAAACTGAAAACCTAGCAGTTATAGATAATTCAAATAATATCAATATATTGTTTATTTTAAAGGCTAATTTAAAAATATTATTATTGTAAATTTCCAATCCAATTTTTCATCTACATTTTTCCTATCTTCACAAATGATTATTAAATTGTTCTTATTGATTGGTGGATCAATCCAAGTTTAATTATAACCTCATATTTATTAAATATATCCATATTTACTTTTTCAACCGATCGATAACTTAAAAAGAGAAAACATGACAAAATAAATTCCAAAAAAAATCTATTAAAGTATTTAATTCTTAAAGAGTTCTAATATATTCATATGGAGCATTATATATCATAATCATAAAAAAAATATTCAAAATACATTAAAATAGCTTTGATTGTGAAGTATGGAGAGGAAAATACATATATATCGTTCAATTTTTAATTAATTTCCAGTTATATATTAGGCATTTTCATATTGATTTTGTTGTGATTAGGAGTATGTTGTTTGGCCAAAATACATAGTTTGTATAATTTTGTTAATATTTCGTCAGTACAATTTATTTTAGCTTTTTCCAAAATCTTGAAGAGACCATTTAAACGTATGTGCATAGTTTTTTTTTCCCATTTTAGTTTATTTCCTGGCCAATATTTATATAATAATATATTTTTTAAAAGAAAATTCCTAATGAGTAATCTTATTATTAATTTTTGTTTATATATCGATCATTAAATTTTTTAGAATGGCCGAATTGTGACAGATAAAATTTCACACAACATACTAAAGATGCAACAATTATATTTTCTTTATTACATATCCCAAGTGTTTGTTTACTATTTATTATTTTAGAATTATATATTATAATTTAAATATTTTTATTCTTATTATTTTTCATGAATTTATCAACATGTATTTAAAAAATAAGTTAAATTAAAATTATCATAAATTCCATGTAAAGTAAGTGTTGGTGTTGACCTAACATTGACTGTTACCATTTTGAATGTTTCAGGAATATAGTTTGGAAGTAAAATATCTTAAAAGTCTATAAAAATTATATATTTTGATATATAGACCTAATGTTTTCTTATTGTTCACAATTAGACGGATATACACTGTTAAGTTTGTATGCGAAATAAAAAATGAGATGGTTTTGTGTTAGAACATGACATGAAGTTAGGTTTCGTTTATGGATAAGCGATAGGGTAATGATACGAAATGAGTATTGTGAAAGGAGAAAAAAAAAAGAGAAAGAAAATGATGACAGAAAGAGTGAGAGTATCCCAGCCATAAGAAAGAGGGAACAGTAATGGCGTGATTTTTATTTTGAAGACTGGGCAAGAAAATACATATTTGTTATTCTATTATTCAGTGAAAATCTATATTATACAAGGTCTTTTATATAGATTTCAGTACCAATTAATTAAATAGTTTGAGCCAAAAATGTATCGTTATTTAATTTAATTTATTTTTAGTTGGTATCATTTGTTCTATATAGGTCTAAAATTTGAGATAATCTAACAATTTGCTATTAAAGAAACTATCATCATTTTAACTTTTATCGATCTTCAAGTATGTAGCTATTTTTCTTTAATGAATAAAGTAACATATTGTCATCAATATTATTATTTTTTTATTCATAGAACACATATACCAACTACTTTTTTCTTATCATATATCATTAATGTTTGTTTAAACAAATAATTTTTATTATTTTAGAATTTATGTAATATAATTTAAATATTTTTTTCTTATTACTTTACAAAAATTTTGTCCATGTACATTTCTAAAATTATAGTAAATAACATTTCTTATGATTTCCAAGTGAAAAACAAGTAATATGTTATTTACTTGAACTTTAACGATTAACGACCTATCTGTAACTTTACAAAAAAATGATCCATTATGCACATCATTCTCATATCACTCTCACACTTATTTTACTAAAAATGAATGGCTGATATTTAATTTTTTAAATAAAAAGTAAAACATGTGGGTCTAATTTAAACTAGATACATGAGACCAAAAGTTGGGTCGTCTTTGTGTTTTTTAATCAAGCATTCAATTTATGTTTCTTAATTTTAATTGACTCATATATGTTAACATTAATTATGTGCATAGCAATTAATTTGTATAATAGTAACAATGACTTTATTTTGTTTCAAGATAATGAAAACTATTTTATTAAAGAGACAATTTTATAAATAAAAAAATATCAGGAAATTAATATGACAAATACTTTATTATATTGAATATCCCATATATGTTTCTTTTTTGTAAGTTTAATGAATTTAATTTTAAAAATTTGAAGGAAAGAACATATTCTATGTTTTAATCACATACTGTCGCACATTATTGTTGTTTCTAGAGTTATAATTTTTTTCAATAAAAATTTTAAGATGTGATAAATCAAAAAATTATTATACTTTTTATTGAATAACTTTTCATTCATTTGAATTATTATGTACCCACATCACTTATAACATCAGGCCGTGCATCGCGCGGGTAGCGTACGAGTAATAATAATAATAATAATAATAATAATAATAATAATAATAGGGAGCCACTTTAGGCTCTCTACATTTATAGAGGGAGGGAGGATAAATGGAGAGCTCCTTCATTTAGAGAGCAGTGGTACAATTGATACTGTTTTCTCAAAATTCTAAAAAAA